TTTTAAAAAACCAAAAAAACAAAAATTCTTTCTAAAGTCCTTTGTCTAATACTTGGGAACATTATAGGTAGAAAATGTTAGGTTTAAGAGAGGTTCAAGAAGACACAGATGGATTATTGGGGTCTTAAAAGAGTTTATTAGGAGTTATTAATACTATGGACATATGGAAGGACAACAGCATGGCAGGGACTGAGGAGAGTTCAGGTCCCAGCACCAGAGACAGAGAGCAGGGAACGGTTTCTGAAGAGACTCAGAGCTCACATGGCAGAGGAGAAAGTCTCTTCTTATACCTTTTAAGGATGGAGGAAGGTTTACAGGGAGAGCCTACAACAAACTAGGCTCTCTGATTCCTAGGCAGGAAGCAGGGAAGGGAGTGAGAAACAGGATGTGTGTGGCACCAATACGCTAACATCAATATCTTTTAATGTTAACTCACCTCCCAGGTGAGAAATCTTGTCAGCAATATCCCAGTAAGATGCCTGTAGGTATCTGAGAAGGGGAGAGCCGCAGCAAAGCAGGGTGTAGCCTAATATTACATTCTTACAGTAGAGTCTTCCTATGACTATTTACAAATTCCAAATTAAGACTGAATAATTGCCAGATATGCTGGCTTACCCTTGTAATCCCAGCACTCTGGAGGCTGAGGCAGGAAGATTACTATAAATTTGAGGCTACCCTGACAAGATGTGAGCCCCTGTCTCAAAAGGATTGTGGAGGCAGCTGGAGAGATGGCTCAGTGATTAACAGCACTTGCTGCTCTTGCAGAGGGTCTAGGTTTGTTTCCTGCACCCACATCAGGTGGCTCACAACTGCCTGTAACTCGAGTTCCAGAACTCTTCTGGCCTCCATGGATACACCTGCATATTCAGACACACAAGCAAACACACATACACGTACATAAAAATAAATTTAAAAAAAAAAAAGATATGTAGGGGCTGGAGATGGCTCAGAGGTTAAGAGCACTGGATGCTCTTGCAGAGGACCCAGGTTCAATTCTAAGTAGCCATATGCAGCTAACCACCATCTGTAATTCCAGTTCCAGGGGATCCAACATCCCCTTCTGACCTCCGTGGGCATTGCACAACATGGGTTCACTTACATACATGCAGGCAATACACTCATACACATAAATAAAAATACAATCTCTTAAAAACATTTTTATTTTAAATTCTATGTATATGTATGCATCTATATGTGGGCTATATATATATGAGTGCTCAGACTCCCAGGTGGTTGTGAGTCACATGATGTGGTTGCTGATAACTTAACTTGGGTCCCCTGGAGGAGTAGTTCTTAAAAGCTGAGCCATCTCTCCAGCCCTTGGACTTTTTTTTTTTTTTAAATCAAGGTCTTGCTAGTATGTAACCCAGGCTTTTCCTCAATTCTAGATCCTCCTTCATACACTGCCCAATTCTTGGATTACAGGCATTTGCTACTAGGTGCATACTCTTCAACTGAAAGTTCTAACAACCTGCAGCATAAGGTCTCAGGAGAGACCAAACACATTGGCCCTAGGGAAATGTGAATGCTGACCAACACATTTGTGGATGACACCATCATATCACAAGGTCAAAAGGATAGGTAGGTTTGTAAACAGCATTCTCTCTCTCTCTCTCTCTCTCTCTCTCTCTCTGTCTGTCTGTCTGTCTGTCTGTCTGTCTCTGTCTTTTTTGAGACATAGTCTCCCTGTAGCCCCACCTGGCCTGGAACTCACTAGTTGACCAGGCTGGCCTTGAACTCACAGAGACCTGCCTGCCTCTGCCTCCTAAGTGCTGGGATTAAAGGCATGCTAAGAAATTTAAAAATAAGATGTTAAAAACTAATTTTTCCTTTTTAGATCTAGAAGTGTCACTTTATCTTGAACTAACTTCTATAGTCTAAACATTTAAAATGGGACACAGGATCTTCACAAATGATAAATCTTTCTCAAACCTGTTACCTGTCTGCCTCTGTTCAGCTGAAAATATAGCTTCATTTGGTCCTCAGTGGACATGGAATTTAAAATCAGGTTTTTAATATTTCTCATCTGCTTTGCGCATTCAAGAGAATAAGAAAATGTGAGCTCTGGCCCTGAGGTAGTGGGTAGCCTTGGGACCCTTATATGCTGAATGGCACACGTGTGTGTGTGTGTGTGTGTGTGTGTGTGTGTGTTGGCGTGCACACAGTTAACTTCTACCTGGGGCCTATCTACCGGAGTCCCAAACACACTGGCCCTAGGGAAATGTTGAGGAAGAAAAGGGTTGACTTCAGGGCTGCTGTGTTCCACGCTAACAGACTGGCTCTATTTCCAATCAAATTTTACTTTAGATAACTTAATTCTCTTATAGAAGACTTAGGTCTACTTCTAGACACAGAAATAAGCAAAACAGGCAGACAGAACTGAGGACACAGGTGCAGGAAAACTTAAAAATGGTTGATTCGGATTGAAAGCGTAATAACCATTTTGTATCTTACTTTGGTTTTTGAGACATGGTCTTACTCTGTAGCTCAGGCTGGCCTCAAACTGGCAGCAATTTCCTGTCCAGCCTCCCCGGTGCTGAGATCAGAAGCATGTGAGGCACCGTGTATGACTAACAATTTATATCTTAAAGCCTTCTTTTAAATTAATTAATTAATTAATTTATTTATTTATTGCTCTTTTTGAGACAGGGTCTTCCTGTAGCCCTAGCCTGCCTGGAACCCACTATGTAGACCAGGTTGGCCTTGAACTCACAGAAATCTGCTTTCCTCTGCCTTCCAAGTGCTGGGATTAATGGCATGCACCACCACCACACCTGAGTGTATGAATGCGCACCTCTTGTGTGCAGGCAGGTGTGAGTTGCCACATGGATACTGGGAACTGAGCCTGAGCAGCCAGTGTTCTTAAACACTGAGTCATCTCTCACCCTGACAGGAATTTTACTTTCATCATTCAATTATATAAACCATATATAATACTATTCTTGCTTTAAAATTTACTGAAAATATTTGGACAGGAGAGTCCCTGATGTATAGTGGAAGAACTAGATTTTTCAGAAAGCAAAGATTCACCTTCTTGCTAAGATCAGGCTAATCAAAGATAACTCTGCCCTGTGCAAGTCTCCTGTGACCTCAGACACTGGCACCTGAATTTGTCTGACAGACAGTGAACTTGTTTAGGATGACTATTTTTTTAATAAATATTTTAGTTATTATTTTTATTTTATGTGTATGAGTGTATTGCCTGCACGTATGTGAGTGCACCCTTGTCGTGCAATGCCTTGGAGGTCAGAAGAAGGCCTTGGATTCCCCTGGAGCTGGAGTTAAGGACGGTTCATAGCTGCCATGTGGGTGCTGGGAATCGAACCCGG